GGGGGGGGGGGGGGGGGGGGGGGGGGAGGGGACCAGGGAGGATGATTCAACCACTCAACCACTAGATGTCGCTGAAAACAACAAATCCTACACACTGTGCCTTTAAAAGCAGCCTAGTTTATGAAAATTTGAAACCAAATAAAGACTGGCACAGGAGTGGAGCACCACTTAAAAAGTGAAATGTTAAAAAATATCGCTAACACTTTTTTATTATTTATCTCATTTTCTGTGTTCACAATTTCCCACTAACATGTTACTATTATTTAGCTTATTTAGTTCTTAAAATTAGCACATTTTTACTAAATGTGAAATTTCAATGTAAAAAAATGTAAATATTAAATCCTAAGTGTGTGAATCTAAACGTAAAAATTAAAGGTTGAAGTTTATATTTAAGTATTTCGGAATGGAAGGCAGCCTTTGCTGTTGCTGCTCGACTCTTGTTATGATGTCATCACCCTGAGACGTTGGCTGTGTCCAAATTCAGTGGCTGGACTCGGCCTACCCGGTCTAGGTGGACCGAGTCCTTGGTGGATGGTGAATACCGGAAAAATTGGCAGTGAATTTGGACGGTCTAGCCTTCTGCTTTATTCCCACCCTTACCTCGGCGAATTTTGAACAGCCTCTGGCGGGACGCTGTGACGTAAGCGGCCGATAAATTTGCCTTTCGGAGGACCCAGCCCCTGAATTTGGACACAGCCAACCACTAGTGCTCCAACGCAGCTAACTCTTCCCTACAAGACATCTGCACTTCAAAGTGCCAGACAACAGTTTTCAATGAACACATTTTAGATTTTAAATAACATCTTCAGCAGCGTTAGAAGATTTACCAATGGCTCTCAGCAGTTAGCAGCATTTAACGTTGACGTTTGTCGCACATCATCCTGGTTAGCTAACGCTAACTGCTGCTAATGCTTCATAGGGTTAATTTAAAACAATATGGATTCTCCCTTTTTGGTCCCGCCTTTTGATGTGCAGCTCAAACATCGACCATAACTGCAAGTCAGATGTCTTGCAGGTTAGCGTTAGCTGCGTTGGAGGGTTAGCGGTTGCTAATCYTCTTCGAATGATGGCGTCTTAACAAGAGCCGAACGCCAACATCAAAGGCTGTATTCTATTGTGAAATACTTAAATGTAAACTTCAACATTTAACATTTACGTTTAGATTTAGAATTTAATATTTACATTTATTTATTTTAACATTTAGTAAAAATTAGCTAAATGTAAGAACAGTGTGGAAATTTGGGGAAATTCTTATAAAACCAACACAAAACCTATTTACATGCTTCAGAAGAAAGCTATACGAATTATAAATGCATTAGATTATTGTCATCCAACAAATGCCATATTTATCACATTGCATACTTTAAAATTTTATGATTTAGTAGAACTTAGAACAGCARTGACAATGTACAAAGCTTATACTAACGTCCTTCCACATTAAAAGTGGTTCGAATTTAAAGAAACAAACTATGAATTCAGAAAGAAAGATTTATTTAGAAAAACAAAGGTTAGAACAAATATTAAAAACAATTGTACCTCTGTTAGAGGTGTGTTTGGAATAATTGTTGTGAAGAGTTAAACTGTGTTTTTTACTAACTAAATTTAAAATAATGTATAAAAACTATTTGTTACAGAAATGTAAGAAATACGTGTTCAATATCGACTGAAGTCAGATTAAAACACAATAGTTAAATAAATTGATTTGTAWAAGGAATAAGGTCATACAACACCAGAATTCTGGATCAGAGTGAGGTTTATTTGTCACCGGACTGACAAGCGAAACCACACTGACCCAAATACAGGAAATGCATGTTTTTATACACGATTCTTCAATGCCTGAGTTCGCCCCCTACTGACCTACGGCTGAATCACAGGCATTCAGACAAAGACCTCAGTCTAATATTTCAAAACGGTTTACTTATGTGTTGTTATGAATCGGACATGTATCTACTCTATTTCAATTAACACATAATAGATCAAACATTATAAAATATTATAAAAAGGAAACCCTAATACTCTGGTGTTGTTTTCTAACATCAGTACTAATCTATAATAACGATAAATGTCTTCAGAAATATACTAAGTTTTGACTGATTGTTTGCTGCTGCTAGAGCTGTGTTACAAATTTGTTTAGAATTTCATTGGAAATTTTATTTTATAAAATCTATAAGAAAAATGTTGATTTGATTTTGATAATGTATGAATAAAAATTGAAGGTATAAAAAGCTTCAGCTTCTACCTATACGTTTTGACACTGACAGGAATTTAAAGATTGTGTATTATTTTATTTCTGAATTTTTTTTCTGTAATTATTCAGATGGACTGGTTTTGGTGATTTTTATATTCAAACAATAAACTTAGCAATGCCACAGTGAMCTAAATAATAAAAAGCGTGTTAACGTTTCATCTCCCACTTGGCGCCCCAACACTGGCATACGTAAAGAGTTGTGGTAAACTAATGTTCCAGATGTTTCAGGCTGCAGATTAGTGTCTTCATGTTTGACCTCTGACCTCTGTCTCCTCAGATTCGGTGCGGGACTCGAGCGGACGGGTGCTGGTCCACTGCCAGGCGGGCATCTCCCGCTCGGCCACCATCTGCCTGGCCTACCTGATGAAGAGGAAGCGGGTCCGCCTGGACGAGGCGTTCGAGTTCGTGCGCCGGCGCCGCAGCATCATCTCGCCCAACTTCAGCTTCATGGGCCAGCTGCTGCAGTTCGAGTCGCAGGTCCTCGCCACCTCCTGCGCCGCCGAGGCGGCGGCGGCCGCCGCCAGCCCGCTGCTCGGGCCCAAGGCCACGACGGCCGCCGCCGCGGTGAGCGCCGCGCCGTCCTCGCCGTTCATCTTCAACTTCCCGGTGTCGGTGGTGAACCCGGCCTACCTGCACCACAGCCCCATCACGACCTCCCCCGGCTGCTGATGCTCGGGGGTGGGGGCGGGGCCTCGCCCTGTGACAACGTGAGCGAGCGTGCCGCGCTTCGCCGTCGGCCGGAGGAGCCGTCAAGTCTCGCCGACCACTGCAGCACGCACATGCTTCCATGGCGGGGAGGCGAGGAGCGTCACGGTGCCTGATTCAGAACACAAACGAAAAAGACTCTTATTTTGAAAAACCAGCCGACCAGTCCGCTCAGATTGATTCCAGTCGACCAAAAACGAAACGGCTTTTAAAACTCGCTGTTTTTCTATATAAATATACACAGAGTGTTGGACCGATGTAAACCCACCTGCTTCCAACACGCACAGAGGCACACGGACACACAAAACCCACGAGCAGCGCCGCACACTCATGACTGAATGAGCTCAGTATGAAGATGGCTTGTTGCTATGGAGACGAGGTCTTTAGGAGAGGAGAGGAGAGGAGATGGACACAGGAAGGAAGGAAGGAGGGAGGGAAGGAGGAATTTTAAGCAACTGCTCTTTCCTTTTTTGGGGGGGGTGTCCCTCCTGCTGGACAAAAGAGACGGGAGGAGGAGGAGACAGTGACAGAAAGCAGGAGCCTCTTCAGTGACGGGTGTTCTGCTGGGGATCCGACCGGGGCTTCCTGTCCTTCATACGTCCTCTTCCTCACCCCACCACACACACACACACACATACACACACAGACACACACCTCTATTCATCTCTGCCTKTCATCTTAGGCCCGCCTGCCTTTGCTCTTCGTTTTCTCATTTAAAAATGCTAAAATCAATCACATTAGATGCCAAATAAAGGCCAGAGCCCTGGTGATTGGACCAGGAAAGCCCCGCATTACATCACAACAAAATATATTTTGATGAAAGGGCTGACATTTTTGAAAAGGAAGTGGTACGTTTGTTTTTTCTTTAATGGGGACGTTTTGTTGTTAAAGACTGTGAAACACACCACCTAAAGGATCACGCCGATGGTTTTGCATTTTCGACCTTCTATAAATGATGTTTCCTTCACTGTTGACACCTGGGTTTCACTTCTCAGAGCYGTTGTCTTTTTCTGGAATCAACTCCACGTCGGCTCCCGTTAGGCGCCTTTCAAAATGTCGTAGTTAYCGAGCAAAAATGTGCGTCAGTGTTGGTCCTTGAAGATGTTTGTGCCTTGGTCAGAAAGGTGTGTTTGGATTTAGGCAGCCTTGGTTTGTTAAGTGTTTTTTTTTTCTTTTCTTTTCGTACCTGCAAGAGAAAAACAAATGGCTGAATGTTGGTCAGACAAGCAAACATTTTAGTGCAGATCAGATTTGTCACAAAGTCAAATGAAAAAAAAAAACCTTCTTTTAAGATTTCATCTGTGTGAGACGGATAAAGCAGGTTCAGTTTGAAACAAAATCCAAACTAAGTGCTGGGAAAAATGCGCCTCAAATTTAACAACAATCATACAAAAAAAGCACATTTTAAATTGCAATATGTTCACGCTTAAAGTGATGGCTCACTATTTGTTGTGGGCTTCTAGAGAGACATTATGAGCAAAGAACATCTTACCTGTTGTAGACAGTGCTGAACGGCCTCTGTTTGGAAACATTTTGTTTCATTCTGACCTGACCGATGAGCTAATAGGTAATCCAAATTATAGAGAAACATTATGAACTGTGAATATCTTACCTGTTGTAGATAGCTCTTTGAATAGACTTGTTTTGGAAAAAAAAAGTTTTATTTTAACTCCAGTGAGGCTTTTAAAGAGCTTACTACAGCCGCTAAAATATTTATTAATCATTAAAAAAATCTTACTTCARTTTTTATGTAGTTAATTCTTGTTTTTGGCAAGTGATGGTAAAAACGAGACCCAGCAATTACAGCTGTCATATTCAAGTATTTAATTTTACTGTTAAAAATATGAGTTTTAAAGACAAAACTAAAAGCAATCTGTTCGACCGACATACACAACTTACTGTACTTTACAGTCCTGTCAGGCTCAGTGGAAACAGGCATTTTCTTCAGTCACGAAGAATCACATGGAATCTTAAAAAGTCACATTCCTGAAGCTTTCAGGGCAACGTTACACTGTGCTGGATGGACAGAGGCAAAAAAAAAAAAAAAGAAATAACCCAATAATAATTTATATTAACGACTCACACAAACGCACACACATTTACATAAAGAAAAAGAAAAAAATTACCTGTCTGTTTTCGAAGATTGTCGACACTGATCTCTGTAGCACTTTGAAGTGATGCAATACTGTCCTTGTAAATTCTGGTTGATTTGCACATCACGGTGACACCGGACCGACTTSATTTAGTTCAAGCYTTKAGAGAAATGAGAGCCAYTCAGTGAAAAATGCAATACTTTGTGCACCTGWGTGTGTGCACCCATGTGTGTGTGTGTAGCTGTCTATCTGCCTCTCTGTGTTAGTCCATCTGACCCGGTTCTGTCCGTCTGTTCCCCCAACATGGCAATATATATAAATACTCCAGCCGAGACAAGCTCCCCTCACTTTTACTGTCTAATGAATGATCTGTACATTTATTTATTACTGAWGATTTACTGTTGAATAAACGATATTCTTAAAATTCTTGTGTGCTTTTTGTTAAATTATATATATATAAATGAAGTTTTTTTAATTAAGCATGTGTTTTAAACATTGTATCTGAAAAAAATAGCATTTAGTGACAGAGGTACAAAAAAGTGAGTTTAAATAATTATTAGTAATTAATTCAAACTCTGAGGAAAATATGTCATGTACTTGATACATGCTGAATTTTATTTTGCTACATTTTTTAAATGAAATTCAGGGAGTCAATTTTTAAAAAAAAAATTAAAGTGTTATTTTATTAACCTTGATGATAAAAGGTGTCAAATGTAAAAATATAAGTGTAACTCGGACTTGTATCAAATTCGGCAGAGTTCTAAAAGACACAGCTGGATTTAAATTAAGAAAACGGAAAAGAAAAATACAAGAGAAGCAATAACATGAAGAAAAACAATTCTAGTCATTTTCCTTTGATTTAAAACCAGAAATATTTTAAACCAGAATTCTTCAGAAAATATAAATATCAGATTTTTTTCCCCTTCTTGGACTCCTGATGTTTTTATGCTGTATAACATCAGGTCTTCTATAATAATTATGTAATAAAAAGTAATGTTGGCTAGCAGCACCATCTACTGGTGATTATCTGCTGCTTTTTAAAAATGCTTTATTTTATTGATGGTTTAAAAAAATGAGATCATAACACATTTGTGTTGCTGATAAAGCAAAAGTTTCCTTTTTAAAGAATCTCAAATGTGAAATTAGTTTTTGTAATTAAGTTTTTGACCACATAACCAGGAGTGTTACTGACCTTAGCTGGATTAAATAGTTGAGGTCTGGATCTGTGCCAAATCCATCTACCCTTTTTTTCTTTCTGGGCCACAGGGAGCAGGTGCACATCTCCAGCCGTCTCTGTGGGAGACAGGGGGACAGAACCGAATAGGGGACAACTGGGACAGGTCCCATCACAGGATCACAGAGAACCGTTCACTCTCACCTGATTCACCTAACAGGCATATCTCTGGTCTGTGGGAGAAAGGATCCAAAGAAAACCCACATATGTATGGGAGGCCCTTTAGGCCATAATTCAAACTTGCTCTCACATGTACCAACTGCACAGGGAGAAAACATAAACTCCACGCACAAAGGCCGACCTTCTCAGTGAGAGCTTTAGGCATTGCACCAACGTGCAGCCAACAACAAGTCAACCAAATTAAATGAACTATTTTAATTTTGAACACAAGAGAAAAAAAGTCAAACAAGATGCAAAGTAGGAAAGCAAGCTTTAACCTTACATGTATGCAGAGATAAAGTTCTTAAAAATAACTAAGTAAAAGTAAAATTACGTGAGCAGAAAATGACTTTGGAAAAAATAAATTTCACTGATGAGAAAACGACAAGTAAAAATCATAAAACTGTTCACAACAATTGGGAAAGTTAAAGTATTTTTACACACTCTCTAAGAAATAAACTGTTGAATTTACTGAACCAAACTGGTTCCACTAAACCAAGTTGTGTAAACTGAGCAATATACAGCGGGTAAAATAAGTATTGAACACGTCACCATTTTTCTCAGTAAATATATTACTAGAGGTGCTAATGACATGAAATTTTC